ATAGTTACTTTTAAAATGTAAACTTATAATTATATTTGCATTAAAGTATATATTCTTTTTAATATATATATATATATATATATATATATATATATATATATATATATATATATATATATATATATATATATACATAATACATAATACATATATTAGGGCTGTACCGAATATTCGCTTCGGGGCTGAATAGTGGACCTAATAACTGTTCGGTATTCGGTCGAATACTTGCGTTCGGGCCGAATACGAATAGTGGTTACCTTACACCCGTTTCTACATACACTGCGATAGTTGTTGTTGCCTAAGTCGCTTTCATGCATTAACTAAGCTGTCAGTGACAATTTACAAGTTTAGTTACTTGTTATAAAACTAAGAATACTTTCATTCCTAGGTATTAGTTACCACTTACTGACTTAAGGATGCAAAACATAAAATGTTTTTAAATGTTTACTATTCTGTACTATATTTTGTGAAGTAAAATTTATGCCTACCGATTGTCCAGGACTCACAGCCATATGTTAAAACTGGATGCATGTAGCAAGCAAGAATTCTTATTCTAACCGTCAAAGACAAAGATATATTGCAAAAGATGTTCTTTATTTTATAAAATGCAGTTTTTGCCTGTCCTTTTTGTGACAGTGGCGAGAAAAAGACAATTTAAATTTCAACTTTTAAGCATCCTAATGCCTTCTTTAATAATGTCACAAGAGAGTTATTTCATTCCATCGCAGTGTATGCAGAAACGGATGTAAGGTAACCACCATTCGTATTCAGCCAGATCGCAAGAATTTGGCCGAATACTGAACAGTTATTAGATCCACTATTCGGCCCTGAAGCAAATACAAAGCTACTTTTCAGTACAGCCCGAACACACACACACACACACACACACACACACACACACACACACACACACACATATATAATAAAATCTCCTCGTGTTTTAAAGACGTGATTTCAAACTGTGTACTTTTTTTTATGAATAGTTAATCTGAGACATAGAGCTCTATCCATAATTCTTTATGTTATTCTGATGAACATATACACACCAGTTTGTTTCATTGCTCAGAAAAAAAAAAGCGAACTGCCAGGTTGAGACTGTTAATGATGCTGAAGATAAATCCTAGAGTATGTCTACATCAGATGCTATGAATGACGAATGCAACATCTGAAGCTGGATGATAACAAGAAGACCATTAGGAAGTGAACCATCATCTATACCTTGAAGCATCCTGTTAACACAATCTAGAGAACAGTTTGAAAAAAAAATCAGATATCAGGTGAAATTAAACTTTTCTTAAAAGAACGCCCAAGCAGCAATCGAACGAAAGGTTTGTGAAGATACTGTTAGGGATATTACTGTAGAATGTAGAAATGGTAGTAGAGCAATGAATAACTTGTAAATGAAATAGTAACCGAATGTTTTTATTTTAAACACCAGTTTGTAAAAATTGTAAATTTTTTGTTGAATATCAGATGAAAATAGAAAATAAATACATCGAAAATTCTCTCACAAAATTGATAAAGTTAAAAATGCAGTCACCTACAGAACATTTTCTGTAATAAAATAAGCTGAGGTGAGTTATCCATGAGAAAACCCAATAGGTACATTTGAAATATGAACAAAATCGTATTTTTTTTTTTCAATCTTTGTCCACCTTTGTTTTCCACACGATATGCAGCTTGATTATGAAATAAACAATAACTACCATCAAACATAAAACCTAGGGGACCGGGACAGCGCAGACGGATAATCTGGACTTCACCCATCATGTAATGCAACACGAAACCCACTCCCCCATCATTCTGCCCCAACCACACCTTGTTTGTCCATTTTCATGTCTTACTGGCAAAATACAATTATAATTAAACTGACTTTACAGGATAACAGAATAGGCAATAGTAAATATGTATAAGGAGAGGCAAGGAAAATGCCAATCTTCCTGCAAAACCATTTTAACATGCGGAGTAATTCGCATTATAGTCAGCTGCGGGAGGTCATACAAATGGGAATAGAAAAGGCAAGAGCAGCTCCCGTGGAAGTCGGATATTTTCAGTCGCAAAAGAAATGAAATCTAGTATTAAATTTAGAATATTTAACTCTAACCTTAAATCAAAACAGTTGTTTTGAGCAGAAAGTTGTACAATGTCTAAAATAGATGCTAATTATTAATAAGTTGAACCCACACAAAAAAAAAAAAAAAAAAACTAGAATTGATATGAAAACAGGAGATTAAATTATAAGCCAGAATCACACACGAGGAGCTGTGGATAGAACTAATTGCTTTCCAGTAAAAACAAGAAGTGAACAAAAAAGACGCTGGATAGAAAGCACTGAAAACTCTGATATTAGAATACATGTATGGCTAGAATATCCTTGTGTTAGTAAATACAGTTGGTAGATTAAAGACAAATTATTTGGAAGCTGCGGAGATGTGGTTTTCATAGACGAATGATGACAATACACGGGGCGGTGAAAAACAGTAATGAGGATGTCTTGATAGAAACCGACTCACGAAGAGAACTGATTGCTCACATTAGAAAGAGACAATCTACAGTCTTTGGTCACGTGATAAAAAGGAAAAAATTAGAGTACATCCTGACAGTAGGAAAGTTTGAGGGGAGGAGAGGCAGAGGAAGATCCAAAGATAAGATGCTGGACAGTCTTAAATCATGGCATGGAGGATATTGAAAGTACACGAGACCGAAGATCGTGGATAGACACGACTACCAACGCCACACGGTATGGACTTTGAGAAGAAGAAAATACAACACAAAAGAAATAAAAAGAACCAATAGCACACAGATACACAAACACACACACAAACATATATATATATATATATATATATATATATATATATATATATATATATACACACACACACACACGTACACACGCTCACACACATAACACACTTACTTTCAAACCAAGAGAGAGAGAGACAATTAGCCGCGTGAATCTGTGAAAAAAATAAATATGCTTCAGAGTGAGCCACAGATGGCAAAGGACCGTGAGACTTACAGCTAGTAAGCTGAGGGCATATGCTCTATCTGGAAAAAAAAAAGGGGGGGGGGGGTAACACAGAATAACGGAACTTCATCTAACTTCGTGATGTTTATAGTAGCGTTTTTAAATACATTTCTAAATAACTTGTCCTTTAACATTGTAGTAAATGTAGTAAATAACTTGTCCTTTAACATTGTAGGATATGTAGTAAATAACGTGTCCTTTAACATTGTAGTAAATGTAGTAAATAACTTTTCCTTTAACATTGTAGGAAATGTAGTAAATAATTTGCCCTTTAACATTGTAGGAAATTTCATGGAACCAGGAACAGAGTAGACAGTTTTTAAAGACTGCACCCACACAAAGGGAATAAATGCATGTGGATTTTAAAAAAGAACGCCTGCACATAACCCGCGACAAAATCAAATTTCTATGTATCCATGTCATCACACATATTGCAGTTTTTTTTTTCTTTCAGTGAGTGACCAAGGAGAAGATGGGTGCAGGATGTGGCAGATGATCTCCAGATGGGTGTATCAGACGCAGGACATCTTGCTCAGGATAGGAAGGTTTTCCGGAGGGTTGTTATGGCAGCGAGGTTCCGCGAGGGACATGCTACTGAATGAATGAATGAGTGACCCTCTGTCACCAATGTCCATGCCTAAAACATCTTCACAGCGTCTTTAATATCCTCTATATTGTGCGAGTTTCACCCTGACTCGTTTTCAAGAACTGTGCCTTTTATCAATGTTCCAAACTGTTTTACTTGAGATAGGACTAAAAGTATGCTAACATTTCAGGGCATAAAGAAGGGCGCAGGGCAAAGAAGTGTGTATATATATATATATATATATATATATATATATATATATATATATTTTGGTTAATCACAACATAAGCACCCAACGCTATGCTGATGACACTGGGATTAATAGATAGGACTGTGGCAGAAAGTGATAAAATATGCTCAGTTCACCCAACGGAAACAGAACCGTAATGGTTATATCTAAGAAAAGAAGACTACCAAAATGTTTAAGAAAAATAAAAATTTAATTTTAGGACAAGTGAATACATTTAAGTATCTAGGCACATGGTTTATATCACAGAGATAAAGAACAGACCAGGACAGGCTGAAAAAGTATTTATGAAATAAATAACATTTTATGCAAATAATCCATATCACTAGAGTGTCGGACAAGAATTCTCGCATGCTATATGTAGCCAGTTTTAACTTCTGTCTGTGAATTTTGGACAGTTAGTAAACAAGCGAAACCATTTCTGGAGGTCTCAGAGACGTGGCTTTCAAAAATAATCCTTCTGAGTTCACTGGACAGCTTCAAAGACAGCGCATATGTTTGGAAAAAAGCCTAGATTTTTTTAAAACCTTAGAAAAAGACAGCTGTCATTCTTTGGCCATCTTATGAGAAGAAATAAATTAAAATATGTTGCGACCACTGAAACGGTCTGTGGAAAAAGAGAAAGACGATTTTTGACTGCCTGTTGTCATGACATAGAGTGGTGTCAACACACAAACCGAAGTACACCCGGACATATGTTGTTTGGGGTTCGCAGATTGTGGAGAGGCATGATGGCTTACACCAGTCGGCAAGGGACTGTATGACAACCGTTTGCTAGAATCTTCTTACGTTTCACCGGTTCATTGGACCAATCTTCCTACTATGTATTTATTATGTGAATTCACTTTCAAGAGCAGTGTGAAATAGCGAAAATCCATTTTTTGTTGTTATTGCTGTTGTGTTTGTGCGTGTTCAGTGTGAATAAATCTGGATACATTATAATTACAATACATTAGGTTTCAGAGAGCTATGACATAATTTATGTATTTCTAAGTTAAACCAGTGCAGTTTGGTTCTTTTGCAGATTAGCATAACGTTAATCTCTTAAACTGTTTAAATATAGACAGTTTTGCTTCAAAATACACCAATCCTAGCATTTCAATAAATCGTATAACGCTATTTGCATAGGTACTTACCACTTGATCAATCACCAATTTAGCCCTTTCTGGGTCAACATCCAGTACAATTCTCAGTGGTTCTCCTGAAGAGGTATTGTAGAGATGTTTTATCAAATCCAAACAGGACTTGGCTGTGGTCACTTCATGTGGTTGAATGTCCGGTGACGAATACAGAAACTCATGAAGAAGATCTTGAATTTGTTCAATCCTTGATACAGCTGTTACAAAAATGTAATAATTGTGACTCTCTGTATTGAGAGACATAGTACAAATACTTCAAACTATCGTTCAAATGACCTCCTAATGCAATACAACTTTAAATGCAGAGTTGGATGAAGAAAAAGATAAGAAAAAGTGTACACGCTCAGTGGGGAGCGACCACAGATAAACGACTAATACTTGCCATCAGTGGTAGGACACAAAAATAACACGAGGGATGGAAGCAGCTGCTTAGTTCTCTTAGATATTTTTCTGGGGGGGGGGGTGGGGGGGGGGTGGGGGAGAGATTAAGGAATTAGGCATTATCTAATGTGCGTGATAAAACAAATGTGCTCAGCTCCATCTACACACACACACGTACACACATACACAAACACACACATACACACTATTTTCACTTTAAAAAAGAAACGACCTAGCACATTTGTTTCTCCAAATCAAACAGAGTGATTTTATAACCAATTAGGACATTTTTAAAATCAAACGACGAAATTCAAGCTACTTAAGACATTTTTCAGATCAGACTCGGCGATTTTCAAACAACCAAGAACATGTTTCAGATCAAAACATATATTTTTCAAATTAAACTAGACAAAGAGGTCTGAAAAATAAAAGGTAATTATTTCACTTAATATTAAAAAAAAAAAAACTTTATTCAGTACAGGCACATGCCAACGTGTCACTTACCGTCCATTGAATCATAGAAATAGTACATCTTGTTCCAAGCGTAATCGCCGTGAATCATGGCTACGATTGGCTTGGTAAGGCTTGGTTCCATGTATATCTGATCAGAACAAAGAATAAACATTATTGTTTCTGTTTCTGCGTAACCAGCACTCCTCCTCCCTACCCGATGACACATCCATATATGACTGCCCGTAAGCTTTATCTCCAAAACTTTTAGGAAAATACACTTGTCCACTCATCCGCCCCCACCCCCTTTTCCCTAAAAATACCGAAACAAATGTCTAGTAAAATGGTACATTTTTCTATGTCTGAACAACTATGATTACAAATAATCCAGCAAAACTACAGTGGATCACATAAGTCTGTGTAAAAGAAATAATGATACTGACGCTTTTTGTATACGATCTATAATAAGAAGAACTCCACAAGGGAGCGTGCACATCAGGGGTTCCCTCGTCGACGATTGTTTCGGCCCATTACTTCCTATACAATCTCGGAAGGTGGGTCGACCTGGTTCATGATGTCAGGCCTCGATCCTTACTGCACTTTATCGGACGTTCTATCAATGGCAAGACGAAACTGGGACTTTGCAACTACTATTGTGAGATTTGGTGTTGTATATATTGTCGCTTCAGAGCAAATTAGCCGCATTCCTTCACGACCAGAGTGAAAAGCTTATGGTTGGCTCAATGGACAATTGTTAGACTTTGGCAATTGGCAGAGAGACGCTGGCAGACATTTATCGGACACTTTGGCTTATTTGGCTTAAAGGGATGAAAAGCTCTTTTCCATTATGGGCTCGGACTAGTCTACCGGAGCTTATCCCATACGACGTTCTGTTGCGTCCAAAGCCAACTCAAAACACTTTTCTCAGGTTCGCCCATTTGTTTTAGTGACCGTTTATACTCTTTTCCTCAAAAGCCCAGGTGCTTTAGTACATTGTATGTGGCAGTGGAGATAAGTCTTTCTGCGATTAATTTGGCCCCCATCCTAGCTTGATTCACAATGTCCGCTAATTCTTTCAGGACTTTATTATGGCGCCACGTGTATCGTCCCAGGCCTAGGGCTTATCTAGACGCGGGCAATACGTGCTTGAGCGTCTACTTAGCTCTGTATAGTGGGCATGTCGGATCGGTGGTCGCACACCATTTGACCATGTGGACGCCAGAGGGTATCTTATGAAACAGCTCAGCCGCAGCAAGGCAATTCGCCAGATCTCACCCCATGTGAGTATTCCCAGGCAAAGTGCTCTTGAGGCCAATCCACTGGCCTTGTTGTGACTGTAGTGCTGATTTTTGGACCTAAGTCTCGTTTTTGGTGTCCCTTATCTGCTGTATTAACATGTCTGCTTTAATACAGACGTAGTAGCCACAAGGACATCAGATGAAGCGATTTCAAAATGTCTGGCTAAGTTTCAACATTTAGAATATCATGCCATAAGCCTACAATTTCGCTTATACTACTTCATATTTATGTCGCACATAGTTGTTGTTGTTATCGATCAGATGCGCATGAGCTTTCACCCTCTGGCCATATAGTAAAATTAAAGCGCTGATCCCGTTTAATTCGTTAAAGAATACTATTATACAAAAAAGGAAATATATGTGGTTAAAATAAACTGAGTTGTGTCCTATCTTTCAAGAAATGTTACTTTTTGGCCTTAGTAATAGCTTTTAGCTTTTTTATTTACATTTAACATTTACTTTTACAGTAAGATAAATTGAAATACGGCAAAATCATCGGTTAACCGTCACATGATTAACCGTCTGTTTTAGTAATCCGCCAAAGTCAGTTTAAAAAAAAAAATGTGAATATCAACAAACTAACATCTTCAGAATGATTCACCATTACTTTTACACCCTACTATATAAAGCTGGAAGCTACTACTGTATGATGGTGGAAGTAACTGTACTGTATTATGGTGGAAGTGACTGTACTGTATTATGGTGGAAGTGACTGTGCTTTATGATGGTGGAAGTAACTGTACTGTATTATGGTGGAAGTGACTGTACTGTATGATGGTGGAAGTGACTGTGCTGTATGATGGTGGAAGTGACTGTACTGTGTTATAGTAAAAGTGACACTACAATACAATGTTAGAAGTGACTGTACTGTATGATGGTGGAAGTGACTGTACTGTATGATGGTAAAAGTGACTGTACTATATGATGTTGGAAGTGACTGTACTGTATTATGGTGGAAGTGACTGTACTGTATGATGTTAGAAGTGACTGTACTGTATGATGGTGGAAGTGACTGTACTGTATGATAGTAAAAGTGACTTTACTGTATGATGGCAGAAGTCACCGTACTGTATGATGGTGGAAGTGACTGTACTATATGATTGCGGAAATGACTGTACTGTAGTATGATGGCGGAAATGACTAATCGTTGGTGGCGGAGGAGTTTAACTCTATCTGGTGCGCATTAGATCCATCACTATCCTGTGGCTACTGTTTTACATACTGGTCTCACGTTACTATAAATATGTATTAAAAGGTTTCGGTTATCCCCCTGTTCGGTTATCTGTCAAAGTATTAGAGTACATCATATAGACTCTGGCCTGCCGGCTGGAGTGTTTTGAGTTCGCATCTGAATCGAGGCTAATTTACCACATCACCAACCAGGTTCCAACTTCTTCTTCGTCTTCTTCACCGTTCCGAGCTCTCGAGGTTCATTGCTGCAGATATCACCCGCCTCCACTCATCACACTTGTTTGCCTTCTCTTTCCAGTTGTTGACACCAAATGTTTGCGAGTCTCTCTGAACGTTATATATCCATAATCTTCTTGGTCTACCTCGTGGTTAACGACCATTCAGCTTCCTCTCTTTTTTTTTTTTAAAATCCATCCGAAATCGAGGCTTAGATATCTGTTTCGTGACGAAATGAGGTTTTACGAAAGTGCGAGTGTCGGCCCCACTCATCAACCCCTCACACTGGAGGAGCAGGTGTCTCTCTTTGTCTGTTTCCTACCCTTTGACCTGTCCGGCTTGGGAGACACTGCTGGTAGCTACGCTATCGCCGGCATAGCCCTCGGTGTCGTAGAGAAACACCATCTCCACCATTGCCGACTGTGATATACAAATATGAGCTTTCACTGTATGATAGGGTATTACTGGCACCACTGTCCTTCATATTAAATTTCCAATTACATGATGTGATCTTCCTTTTCTTTGTACAATGCACAACTGACAAATGTTTCAACTCACTTTTGCACTTTGTCCTGTGATAATGTGTTCAGTTCTAAACTGAAACCTGGAATTTAAAACAATGTATCAAGGTCGACAATACCAAAATTGGTAGGAGAAAATACGGGGAGTAAATTGGGCTAACACTATGATCAACTAATTGTTATATCTTTAAACGTATAGTTTTATCACGGTATACACCCGCACCCCTATCATTAAAAAAGAAAGTTTCAATGTTTTGTACAGAGTCTTTACTTTTATACTGTCTATAGTCTCCTTTCTGCCTTGGTGAAATTTTACAAGTACTCACATCTAATTCCACACACCTTGTCCTATAATTTGATGTTTATCTAATGACAGAAAGTACTAACACGCCTTTAACATTTAGGACGTTTATAAAAAAGGCCCGGCTGTATAGTAATAAGAAGAATTTGTTAAACATTCAACAAATAGTGGCTGTTGATTATAAAATACCTGCATTGACTTTTTTGATTCATTCCATTCTCTAGAATCTGTTGGGCTGTTGAGGAAAATAAATGGAATCTGTGTGTCTTGTGCATAGTCGATGACAGTTTCCAGAGCTGATGGTCTGATATCCCCAATAACTGTTATTGCTCCAGCGGACAACAAAGAGCACACTAGAAGACAATAGTAGCAACACAATTGTTAAATAAACAAAGAGGTGAATAGGACAATGTCAGGTTTACATAAGTGTGCATACACAGTCAGAAGTACGGGTGGAAACCCCAATAACAACGGGTCTTCCCCATGAACAATATGGGTCTTGATATTTATAACAAGAGGAACAAGTAATTTCCAGAAATTTAGAATATGTGAAAGCCTGCAGTCTCTCACCTCGTCACAGTATTTGTTTTAAAGCTTCCTTTAAAGCAGTGCATATTTTTTCTAGCACTATCGACTAGTAGATACCATTTGAGTCTTGCGGTTGGAAACTATACTTAGAATTTAGTTTAGTCGTTTTTAGGAAACGGAATTTAGATTCAGTTAAATTTAGGAGTGTGAATTTAAGATAAATGCGCAATTTCCGACAATTGCGTCATCATTCAAACGACCAAATACCGCAGAAATAAAGAAAACAAATAGAAAAACAACAACACTATACTGCAAATGTCGCACTTTACTAAGGAATAAGTGGAAGATCGATAGCACTTGTTTCCTTTTTTTTTAAATTTTTTTTTTTTTTAAATATCAGAACTGTATCACTGTGATAATAAGGGCTGTGATTGATGTTAGCAGGTTGGATGTTAAACACGATAGAGATTTCACTACTTGAAAAGATCGTCATTTATTTAAAAGAATGTTCAGGTTAGATAAAGACAGCTCTTCTCTTAGCAGATTTTTGAAGCGATTTGGACACAGTGACATCTCGATTGTTACTAATATGTATTATACACATGTATATGCTAACGACATGGATGTCGAAGCACTATTACCGTAGCTCTAGTGTAGATGACACATGTTATAAATAGATCATGAGAAGACATGGGTTTGGGTAATGAGCGAAAAGATCAAAGAACCGTATCTTGTACAGTTAATCAATATGTAAAAATGCGAGTTGTCCTTATCACATCAATAAAATACATAAATCAACATAAAGTGCACCAGACAATAAAAAAGGCTAATAAAACAGAGTACCTTTGTATCTGCAAGAAATACAAGTATTAGTAACGTTGTCCGGCCCAGGCGCACATTAACTGGCCGTTCATTCACGCTTGCTAATCTTTCACAAGCTCTAGTCTAAGTTACGCTGGAGTCACGTTGTATTGCAGTTGATGATGCTCTCACCGGCGATGACGTGTGCTCTATATTACACGATGTGACAGGTTTTAACGACCCTAGAAGATCTACCCCCCGCCCCCCCCCCCACCCTCACCTAACCCACATAACAGCGTCAGCCTACGTCCCAGGAGGGCCTGCTGCCTACGTCCTGAGATTCCGTAGTTCCAAAACTATTAACATTTTCGGCTTGACCGTAAGATACCGTATTGCCGCAGAAAAGCAACGACCCTCTCCTTGTCGGTCGTCAACGCTGACAACTGAAGTAAATTTATGTCGTACTTGAAGTGCGAGAAGGCTAGAAAATACGCAATACCGTCGCCCGCTCAGCACAACGAGTAAATTACAAAGTGTACCTGGCCAGTCACATGACACCCAATATTTACGTAACAGAACACAACGTCACTTCCCCTGTAACTTAGACTAGCGCGTGTGAAGGAGTAGCAAGCACGAATAAACGGTAACTCAGGCTGTGCCTGAGCCGGATAACGTTAGTTGTACCCAAATACAGATAATCTCTACGCGTGTAAACATTTATGCAGTTGTAGCTGTATATTATGATAACCTTGTGCTAATAAATTAAACTGAAAAACAAGCAATCAGTGGTAGATTACAGACATAACAAGTAATGCTCGGAAGATATATAGGAAACAAAAAACGTCCAGCCCAATCTCTAGCATGTATGCAAAGGTTTGTAGACAAGGTGAGTGATGGGTGGTATCAGATTTAAATCATGTGAAACAAGTCACCTTTTGAAATCGGTCTTTGAAAAGAGGAATAAATATAAAACACCAAATATTGTACAGATAGAAAAATACCCCCCCCCCCCCCCCCCACCCCTTTTCCCTAAACAACACATTTAAGCAATAGTCCAACTTGGTAGAAAACAGCTGACCTTCCATAAGCAACAACAACAACAAATTGATTTCATCTCCTGGCTACACATGTGTTTATAGACACTAATACAATTTAGTACTATGTCCTGGAAATTCCCCTTTCAGTTACCTGAAAAGTAGCTCAACTAGGGGTGCGGGGGGCATCAACATATAAAATGCCGATAAGCAAAGGCGGTTATTATAAGCTACCCTACACAGCCACACACACACACACACACACACACACACACACACACACACCCGATCGGATAGTGCTTTCGTACCACCCACTGCCTGTCGCCAAACCAAAAGCATTTATCTCTATTAATTGCAATAATTGGGCTGGATATGTACAAGTGGGAGAAGCATCAAGGGGGAGCATGGTCTTAGACCGCATGCCGGAAGGATGAAATGCGAGGGAGCCCAACGCAGTAGGCGTCAGCCCATAGCTACTCCTGTAGTTGATGAGTCTTGGGGGAACGACGGGCAGGGTGACACCCACTCGCCTGGAAAGGCCCAAGACCAAAGTTTAAAATGATTCCTCCCTCTTGGTCTGAGGTCAAAGAAGTTGTGAAAATGGCCAGCGGCAAATCTGCCTCAAGACATAATGGTGTCGTACGCGCTGTACTAACATTGTCTAGAACTCCTCCGAATGCTTCACCACCTGCTACAACTAACGTGGAGCCGAAAGTACATAGGTACCCAGTTGCAGAGAGCCAACGGAATCTCATTCCCAAGGACCGAGACTCCCCCAGTCTATCCCAATTCAGGCCCAGCTCGCTGTTGAACGTCGAGGGCAAATACTTTTCTCAATGATGGCCCGTAGGCTCACACAGTATCTGATGCAGAACAGATATATTGACACAACGGTTCAGAAAAGTGGCATCCTGGGCGTCCCCGGGTGTCTAGAACATGCGACCATGATTTGGGAGCATATTCAGAGAGCTAAGGCAGAGAGAACTGAACTGCACGTGATACGGTTGGACCTCAACAACGCCTATGAGTCGGTACCCCATAAGTTACTATGACAGTCTATTCGCATGTTCCACGTACCAACAGAGATCCCCGAAATGATCGAGCAATATTTCTCAAAGTTCGCCATTCGCTTCTCTACCCCACGTTTACTACTAGATAGACTGAGCTCTAGGTTAGGATATCAATGGGATGTAGGATTTCACTAAACTGTTCGACATGGCCATGCAGGTCATGTTAGATGGGGATGCCGGTGTCGGTCAGGGCCTTTTAACTGGAGATTACTGGATGCCGCCACTGACTGCATTTATGGATGATACGACTATTGTCATAGGCAGTGAAGATAATGCCCGTGTTATAGAGCGGCTGGATCGCGTGGCTGAATGGTGCGGCACGCAATTAAATCTCCAGAAGTCCAGAAGTCTATCTATCCAGGAGGGGTAAGGTGGCGGCAACCAGTATTACGGTGGCAAGAAAAAAAGTATTGTTGGATCTTTGCCGGTGCAACGGTTTTCGTGCACTGCGCTGAAGTTCTTAAGACTCAGTCTTGAGTTAGAAGTAGAACTGAGCACTTCTGTGTTACACCCGTGTGCCATAATGTTGATTTGTTAAATAAAATAAACTTGTTCCTTATCTTCCCAGCATTCACAATGTTGTTAACGTATTCTCACAGAAACAAAAATCTAATGGTGTTGGGTCCAGATTTCCAGGTGGGCAGGATATTCGCTTAGCATTTCCAGCTTCTTATTTAGAATATCGCGAACAATGCGGCTGAAACGAGAGGTTTTCATTTGTCCAACGGTTGAGTCGTGGCAATTAGTATTATTTACATGTGAGCTGGCGAAATACTTTATGAAATTATACGTGTGTCGTGACCGACTACTTCTATGACCGACAACCTTCATTTCTGGTGGCGTGTCGCGTGCGAATGTGCACTAGAACGCACCGGTACTGAGTGAGCAAATAAGACGTCAAAACAATACGTAACGTTGTTAAGGTATTGTTGTCAAAGGCAGTTGATGTTTACAGTCCGAAGGAGACGGACGTGTGGATCCCTGAGGACGCTTTACCCCGGGATCCCACGGAAGCAAACGTTGTATACAGTTGGATCCTTGAGGACGTTTTACCCCGGGAATCCAATATAGACCTCAGCAGAAAGCTTGTAGATCGACACAGTTCGGCAGTAAGCCGGTATACCTTCATTACTTAATTCAAATTACTGTCTGGATCTCAAGGTCGGACTGCGACCTATCGTGAGGACATATCAGTCCATGGATGTATGAGCGGGCTTTTGTTGATATGCTTGAATGAATCTTGACTAGTAACTGCACATTTTCTCCTTGTGTTGATCATCGTTATTGTCAATACACAAATGGAACTTTTAAAGAGTGTTCTTGTTTCGCTACGTTTGGAAGCTTCAGCATTCATCATGTTGTGTTACTCTTGGCCAGTGGCATGTTAAGTGTTGATGCCATTTGTTACATTGCGACACCCCTAGTCACTTTGGTACGCTGCACATCACCACGCAGCATTTACAGCACGTCACATGGCGGCTGTGGGCTCTGACGTCTCTAGCAACTGCCTTATGCGTTTACTGCGTGATATATACACAGAGCATAAAGTACTGACTGGAAAAACGTGACCCGCAGTATTTAATGGATTTGGTTAATATACATAATGAGCAGCTAGACGAAACAATAAATTGAGCTAGATGTTTATTAGAGATAAGCTGACATTTGCTTGTTGATATATATATATATACATAATGCCTTGTTTGTTAGGTCCGTCGATGGTAAATCTTCTCAAGTCGTTTAAATAATGAATACTTTTTCTATTTCTATACAGATTTCAACATTACACATCACTGGCTGATGAACGAACGAACGAACAAACTTTATTTTCAAAGGGTTACAAAGATGAGCATTCAACTGCTACGTGCAATATAAACTAGAAAGAACAACTGTTGGAAACGTTTACCATATGTGTTAGAAATAACTTACATGCTCTAGAAACATTGTAGCTGTCACTTGTATCCAATTTGATGACTTTTGTCTCCATCTCAAAGTAGGAGTTTATTTCATTTTGTTGGCGTATGTGCTGTATGATGGACCTCTCCAGAACGCTGTGTCTCTCATCAATAATCAGACCTGTCATATGGAAGGATATTAAGAATCACTTTTACCACTGTTGTGCTTGTTTCTGTATCTGAAGATTTGTTTTACGTAGGTATATTGGATGGCTGCTGGAGAAAGGTAGGGAGCTTTATAAAAATTGTGTTTAAAAAATGTTTTACTTATTTGGGAAATCGCACCACCCGAGTTTGTTGATTGACAGTTATTGATAGCAGCGAATAGTAAAACGGAATCTAACAAAGCAAGCCATAAGCAAAAAAAAAAAAAGCTTTATTCTTAGTGTTGAAAACCACATCGTGTGAAATAATTCAATCCAGTGGGAACACTGTGATGGTTTGAGCACAGCTCTGACATAGCCCAGATGCCGTAAATAACATACAAGCTGACCTTTGCTAGTTGATATAAATGTACTTTTTGGCATACATCATATTGCTACAAAAATGTCGGGAGAGGTTCTACGATCGGCCATCTGTGTCTTTTGATTTGATTCTCACATTTAATTTATTATATTTAACAACAACCTTTCATATTCTACTTTTCTGCATCGTGATTAAAAAGTTCTTTGAGGAGGGAATAATTAAATAGTGGCAATTATTATGTCAACGGACTGAGAATAGAAAGTAGAGAGTTTTTTAAAAAAAATAGCCGAAAGTATTATTAGCATAGCAGTAAATAATAGCCAGGAGCGGTCCGTCCCATCGTTAGAGTATCAAGCCGTCCACAAAGAAACAGAAACAGCAATTACATCTCTGCTGCATGATGTACCTGTTTATACAGATGAATTGCCTAGGCTGATTACTTTTTCTATTCTCATTTTCCCCCTCCTCCTCCTAACCTTCTTACCCTCCACCTTCTCCTTCTCCTCCTCCCTTTATTCCTCCTCTTTATTTTACTTCTTCTTCTTCTTCTTCTTCTTCTTCTTCTTCTTCTTCTTCTTCTTCTTCTTCTTCTTCTTCTTCTTCTTCTTCTTCTTCTTCTTCTTCTTCTTCTTCTTCCTCTTCTTCTTCTTCTTCTTCTTCTTCTTCTTCTTCTTCTTCTTCTTCTTCTTCTTCTTCTTCTTCTTCTTCTTCTTCTTCTTCTTCTTCTTCTTCTCCTCCCCCTCCTCCTCTTCCTCACGGTGATTATGATTATCGTATTCTGATGATGATAATATGATGAGGATTATGCTTTACTAAATGATGTTGAAACCCAAGTCGAATGACACATAAGATTTGTTAAATATAGAAATCAATTCACCTAAGGAGATCTTTCGAGCAGTATCTGAAAATCCGTTAAGAGTGCGTTGTTGACTGCAGTCTCAGAAGGGTATCATAGAGCCACTGTGACCATCTTCGCTTCAATTCTCGTTTCACTCTTTGGGTACGCTATCCTACGATATAATGATGTGCTACATTCATCCAACTGAGAAGTCCCAATCAAATCTTTTATCTACGACCACTGGCCCATTAAATTTTGCCTACAATGATGTCCAGTTTGCTGCCATATTTGAATCTTAACTCTCTAAGCGCCACAGAAAAGACCTTTGGATGTCTTTGCCTATGGTAATTCACCATTCACGAGCATCCTGGCGTGAGTGTTTTCTCCCAGCTCTGTTCAAATGCAGTGGATGTATGTTAGTATTGATCTTAGCCAAAACATATCGGTACTTGGCTCAGAGAAGGTTTAGAGAGAACAACATTTTTTATTAGACTTACGCTGGTGCTATTACTTAATACATTCACATTTGGGGGGGGGGGGGGAGGCTCAAACCTTTCACAGTATGTTGCCGAATACGTGAGTAGATTGAGCCCGTACTTAATAACGTCATGGATCAGATGATTGTCATAATGTTAATGATATCATCCAAGCATCCTTCTCTTTCAGAACATTTTCTTAAACTTATTTCTAAAGGTAGATGTTCTCGGAGTCATGGAGTAAGGAGACACATGGATTCACTTTGCAGCTTCTTCTTCTGCCTTTCTAACCCCAAATGGAGCATTGACACTAAAACAACTCAGACCAAGTCGTTCTATCCTTTGCTATTGCATGCAGCGCTCCCCATGGCCTCCTCATAATATTTACTTCACTTTCTAGCTCCCTTCCCCATGTGTTTAATGGTTTGCTCTATTATTATACGTAATGTGGCTATCTGGTTAGTACAGGATCTGTTTGGCCGAAAACCTGCCTGTTGATCTCTTAGCTTTTTATCAATAGCATCTTTTAATCATTCCAAAATATTTTTAATTAATATTGTTTTCCAGTAACTGACCGCAACATAATTCCTCTATAGTTTTCACACTCCTGTAGATCACTTTTTTTGGGGGTTGTTTTGTGACAGTACTGATTACAGTCACGAATATTACAAGAAGGAAATAGAAGGAAAGAAACACCCAGAGGAATAAGGAGGTATAGAGTCGCTTGAGAATAAGAAGGTCGCTACATAGTGTAACAACCCTGAGGGCATTGACTCAAGAGTAGACAAAGACGTGTGTGCATGCCACGCTAGTCCGGGAACTATTGTAGGCCAATATACTCACAAATTAAAAGAGGCAGGACTTGAGAGGCATGACGAACAAAGATTTAGTGGGGATTTTCCATCCAAATATGCAAAGTGGCTTGGAAAATCATCTTTGGCGGGAAAGAGAAATGTTAATGAGCCTAAGAAGACACAGTTTTTTGAACTCAGGTACAAAGGAGAGAGGTAGAACCAAGTAGCATCATGGGTGTGTATACACGGCGAGGGAGCCATGACAGAGACGCTTGCGCTGAGATCTCTGGCAACGAAGGATGCTGTGAGCATTCCGATGATGTCGATACGATGGAGCTGAGTCCATACTTCTGTTGTGTGAACTGCCAGATAATGCACGAAATATTGCTTCATGTTATGTAAGTAGTACTGTGTTCATGTTAAGTAATAAGATAAGATACAGTGTGATAATAGTGGTTATCACATCTTGGGTTATTGGTAGGACACATGATGATGATGATTGCTCTGATATGTATTAACTGGATCTTGCGAGTCGTCTAACTGGACACCTGAGACATAGCAGATGTCATGTTGACAGATCCAAGTGTATTAATGCAACGTATGAGTATTCATATGTATATTATAATGATTTCTGGGACAGACATCATCTTGGAACATTGGAGGAAAGGAAAGTTATAAAACAACGAGAAACGTTCTGAGCATGCAGCATACGGGGGCTGCCCTCTTATTTAGGTCAGAGGCCCAATATCGTATTTCACAGGTAGAGAGGGAGTGTGGCCCTAGAATGACCCTTTCTAACGGCCAGACTGTGTCTGCGATGTTTTGATTGAGATACAGGAGGAAAGCAGCGGGCACTGATGTCATAAAATGTATAATTGTGTATGTAAAGTCATGGTTGTCATGAAGAATATAGACTTCTGTTAGAAGACATAATAACTACTGGAAGACCGTCACAGCACATGATGGTGATGGTCATGATAACAGATAAGCATGACGTGTGAAGTATCATATTGAACAGCAGCGTTAGCGCTGCTAGGGAATGATAACGCCATGTGTATTAACATGATGCAGTTATAATGTTGTTAACATTTTGTTGTGATTTGAAGAGAGAATGATATAAGAAGATATGGGGAAGTGAAAGTCATTTAGCTTGAACTGACCTCGGCAAGCTGACGAGAAGGGAGCACACGGATATAATAGAATTTACCTGTAAAGGGGCGGGACAGGAGTATCAGATGGTGAAGTGAGTGGGGGATGCAAGGCCATGTCTGTAGCCAGATTGTTGTCGTTGAAGAGGAAATGCATGGGCATTCATGTGGTAAAAGTAAATAGTGCATGTATGGTTATACATAGTAATATGTTTTGAATAAGAAGTACATATGAGTTAGTGGATGGAGGTTTATTCAAGGGTATAAGAATGCCTGTTTAAAGGGAGAACTATTCGTATGAAGAAAGGCAGTTGTTTGCAGGGTAGAATAAGATGTATGTTGTTGCGTTCACGTTTATATGCTTGGCAATATGAACTTATAGAATGTTTGAATATATTTAACAGGTGACATGGCAGTTTCTGTCATGGTGTGCCGGGTTGGCTATAGGTTGGCTATAGTTAGATGGTATCTAGACTGCAATCAGCAGTATGGCTAGATGGTAGTCGGTATTTGGCTATAGGTTTGCTGGTCTTTGGACTGCAATCAGCAGTACGGTTAGATAGTGGTCGGTATTTGGCATTAGAGTAGATGGCTAGATTGTAGTTGTTATTTGGCTTATTATTTGTAGAGCAATGAAGGATATTCTAGGCGTCATTTGCTAGTTTATCGTTGAGTGGATTCTGCTGTCAGTTGCTGAGATTTATAGTGTGAGGACGTTCTGTTTATAACATAATATAACATCTGTCGGTTGTGTAACATGAGATAGACGACTTTGTAATGCTGTTTCTTAATAAACATGATTGTTAGTTGTTATTCTTTTATTCCATCGTTAGTTTGTTGAGTATAGGAGTGGTACTATTATTGTTAGTCTCTGTAGTCTTTATACCACCACCACTTTACTATATATCTACTCTCTCCTTCATAAGACCTCCACTGACTATTACCTGATCGTTTGGGGTGTAGACTCATTACTACACTCTCCACACTGGAGACCCTATTGTCCTCTTATACATCCTTTAACTATTATTTCTTCTCGTCTGTCTCTCTCTCTACTTTTATATCTTCTCTTCTTCTTCTATCCCCTCTTTAAAATGTACCCAACTGTGACAGTTTCACAAAATATCCTTCTCTCTAGTAAGCTAGTTTTCTTCGGTCTTCCAGACTTTACTAAATAATCTATGTAGAAATTCCGTTGATGTGTTTATGTTAGCCCTAATGGCTTCTGCTGTGATACCATCTGGACCTGCCGCGTTTCCTTCATTGAGAAGATTGATAGCTTTTATAATTTCCTTTTTTGATGGTATCTCACAGTTGACATCCACTTCCATTTCCAAAGGCTGGATATCTGGAGGCACCTCTGGACCTGGTTTATTTAGAACTATTTCAAAATATTATATCCATTTGATCTTAAGGGTTAGTAAGTACCTATCCTTGACTATTTTTGATTGATTCAGCTGGTGACTATATTGACCTACTTATTTTCTTGTATAACTGTCTTGTATTACTGTAAAGTTATCAGAGGTTTCCTTTTGCTGCTGCTACCTCCGCTTCTTGTGCTAGATCATTTAAATATTTCACTTTATCTGCCCTTATAACGCTTTCTAACTTCCTTATTAGATTCGGTATGTATATCCTGAGCTCTAGCTTTAGCAGCTCTAGTTTTGCTATTGTTTAAGTCTGCCTTTTTACTTTTCCTTTCTTCAATCAATTTAATGGTGTCTGGTGTTATCCATGCTTTATGTTTCCATTCTTTCTTGCCAAGAACTTCTACACAAGATTCATTCCGAATTTCCTTGATCTGACCCCAGTAGACTTCTGTGCTTACATCTTCAGCTAACTGCCGCAACACATGGTACTTATTAGAGAATGTTACTGAAAAATTGTTCCTCAACTTCTTTATCCTTGACACAATCTACTTTATACTAGTGTTTATGATTATAAGATGTTATGTAGCTTTCAACTTGATTTTACTTACCAATAGAAAATGGTCAGTAAATACATCGGCACCTCTGAAATCACTAATATCATAACGGGAAGATCTAAACCTTTTGTTATTACACAGGTGATCAATTTGATTGGTTGTCTTATGTTCTGGTGAATCCCATGTTGCCTTATGTAATCTTTTAAGGGGGAAAATACTTCCAGCGTATACTGCGAGTTAATGCACACAGTTAAAGGTAAACATAATTTACTTTTTGTGGAAGTGCAAGTGTGTGAGTGTGTATGTGTGTGTGTATGTGTGTGTGTGTGTGTGTGTGTGTGTGTGTGTGTGTGTGTGTGTGTGTGTTCAGTCTTGCGTTACCCAGGATAGTCGTTTAATACGTTAATATGTAGACAATGCTCCATTGTCCAAAGGCATACACTGGTTTTGAGAAGAAAGGTCTTAACAGTAACAATGAAATGGACACAATAAATGCACAAGTACTTACCTACAGGAATTCTGTATTTGTATCCCACAGTTTGGAAAATAAATGTCGTTATGAAAGACACGTGGAACAACAATGACAGCATACAGTTTCCCATTATTATTATAAATGTTTCACGAGATCTTAAATGACTAAATAGAGTTTGCTTTTTATTTTCTACTCCAAGATTGTATTATTGGAACATCACAGACTAATCTTATTCCAGCCAGCATTTTTTCTGAAAAAAAAAAAAAATGACAATGTTAATCACAAATAAAACTCACTAAAACTTACCGTTTCTCATTAGTTTTATCTTATAAACATAATGGCTAGTATTTACAGTTTTCGAGTTGTTATCATGGGCATAAAGCTTCTCCATGTTGCCCATTCATAACAAACATGAACCTCACATAGTCATATCTGTTATAGTAGTTGAGGTGATGATTGTCATTGTGGCCGAATCAGTAACAATAGTAACGGTATTAGTTAGTAGTAGTTGTTATTGGTTTCGCTGCTTGAGTTTAGTGCCTGGTGCAGCTCTGTGAGCTGTGTTTTTCCTATGGAATGCCTTTCATGTGTGCAGCGATTGTGTCGTGGTATTCAATGTGGCCGGTAGCCGGTTTACGTGTGATCTGTTGTTACACCTTATGTAATAATTCTACCTTCATAAAGTAGCCAGCTTCTCCTGCCTGACTACTTCCATCAATGACAAACTGCATTTTTAGTGGCGACTCTTGGCAATGGCGCCTCTAGCAACGAAAATTAATATTTATTGCGTGCGCATATTTCTGGATTGTTCAGGAACTAATTGTTAGTTCACCAGTTTTTTAAATGCAACAGTGAGGGGATTTTATTTGGTTTTCACTGGCACAGGAACAGAGCAAATATGGGAGAACCCGATTGCAATTAAGTTGAAACCTCGACTAAGTTTTATTGCAGCAGTTTTAGATGTAGTAATAGCAAGTTGCTGATGCAATAATAATATCGTTACTGACTTTGCAGAGGCACCTTTAGCAGTGGCAGGAGACAGTAATTAGTGTAAAGCTGCCACCAACATCACCACAGTAATGGTAGGAGAGGTAATAGTTTAAAGCTGCCGCCAATATCATGACACTGGTGGTAGGAGACAGTAGTTAGTGTTAAGCTGCCACAAACATCGCCACATTAGTGGTAGTAGACATAGTAGATAATGTAAAACTACCTCAAACATCGCCACAGTAGTGGTAGTAGACGTAGTAGGTGATGTAAAACTACCATGAACATCGCCACAGTAGTGGTAGTAGACGTAGTAGGTAATGTAAAACTACCACAAACATCGCCACAGTAGTGGTACGATTCGTAGTATGTTAGTGTAAAGCTGCCGCTAACATTACCACAGTAATGGTACTTAAGCCGTACTAGTTGTGAAACTTCTCATACTATATTTAACAGAAGCACCAGCGGCTGTTGTAAAAGTAAATTCAAAAATGTTATTTCTGTGTCTAAGAGCAACCTTGAAATTGTAAGAAGCAAAACAAATTCCAAGAACTCCAGACTCAGTAATTCCTAGTTATGATGCGATTGCAGCCTAAATTGTTGCTTCATTGACCGTCTCTGGATTGAATAAGTGAGGAAATCGTTTTCTTCTTTTAAATTTGTTAAATTATACAACAAATAAAAATGCAACCTGTTCGACACGCCAACATCAACAACATTCAGTGCAATCCAGAATCGCTTGGGAATATGATGCTTGGGGAGAGAATGTTGACAATGAGCTGGGGCGTTGGTTAAAACGTTAGAGTTTAGGGGATTCTGGAAGTTGAACTCGTAGAATGCATTTCATTCAGAGGTGGGCACTTCAAACATCAACACTACAGCATGTTCAGACTCAGACCATATACACCAACAGGTGACATAATTAAATTGTTATTTCATCTGTCCTTATATCTTACTAAATCCACACTGACACCTGGTGCATGATGTACTTATTGGTGTACAATATGTATAATGTCTTCCTAAATGCCTCTTTCCATTGATTATTGATTACTGTTTTTATCTGTAAAATTGGAAGACCAGGTTCAAATCTTCAGTAAGGCTGGGGATTTTTTCTGTCGGAGGCAAAAATAAAAATATTTTTTTTACCTTTACAGTCGTAGCGAAGGCACTAGCCATGCGGCCGTCAATGCTCAGGCTACACCGCAAAAGTGGAAATAAAGGCAGTTTTTTGCAGTTATTGGCAGTCTGTGAAATTTAATTTGCTAGGTTATGTCCAACGAGGCCACCTAATGAACCTTAGCCGTTCGCCAATAAAGTAGATAATTAGTCTCCACAGAGTTTGCCCCACAATTTCAGTCATTTTTTCGTAATTGCAGTGAAATAAACTCCTGGCCACTTACCAGTATAGTCGTGGCCTGCACCTTTAATAGTTATCGGGTCATTGACAAACACGCTGTTGAAATTGCTAAGAGACCAAAGTCACGTCACATGTTAACTTTATGCTGCATATTTACTGCACATTTTTGGCTAATCCCCATCTAAGCAATGTTTCCCCGATGTGAATTTGAACAAAGAAGACACAAACAATAGACTGCACAATTTATTGCCTGGCATATTTCGCTGTATCTCGTCAGGTACATACTACAGCAACAAGTAAATAAAATGAAGCAAATAGCTGAATCCTAGAAACTGAAACACAAATTCAACTACATTCTACACTGTCTGTTTCACCAAGGTAACCTTAAGGAAACGACCATTTCTTTCTGCCTTCAGTGATCTGGTTTCAACCGGCTAATCGCGGAAGCTTCCGCGCATCGGAGTAATCTACGGTTTGCCGAATTGTAAATAACTCGAAATGCATCATCCCTATTAATTATGTGCCCGGAATTTAGAATATGGCACGCAATTACTGATGATGGATTTTGTCGACCAGTCACCTGATTCGTTGTTGCTGAGGTGTTAGTGTTCTGCATTACTTTCACCAACTATAGTGGAATATGTTCAGCAAACCCATTTCTCCAGTGGTCGATCAGTTCTGCCCACACATGCAGCGTCACAGGTGCATTTAAATTGTTATATACAGTTAGATCTGGCGTACGTCGACACTGGTTCTTTTACAGGTGGAGTAGGTGGTTTTAAATCTCATAACAGTCCTGGCTGCATAAAAGGTTTGACCGACTGCTGTTTTGAGTCGGTCATATACACGTTGCATGACGTCATCTCCCCGAAACGTTAGATGTAAATAAACTTTTTTTTTTTTTTTGGCACTGACATTTCTAAGGTAACTGGTTTAGGCGGCTGGCAATGGCACTTAATAAAACCACCTTGATATCCATTAGAAAGCAGTGTTTGTTTAATCGTTTCAAACTCAGTTAGAAGCGTGTCGCTGGAACAAATCTTCCTAGTACGGTGGAATAATGTCCTTACTACACCACGTTTGTATTGCAAAGGTGCAAAACTGCTGAAATGGATGTACTGGCCTGTCCAAGTGTCTTTAAGATAAACTCACCTCAATATTGCCATCATCTCTACGTCTAATTAAAATATCTAAAAAGGCCAAGGTGTTGCTAATTTCATGCTGTAGGGACACTAATGTTTTTGTGCATTTGGTTCATTTTGTGTGAAACGACTCTGCCTGTTGTTTGTTTGTGGCGATGATGAGTATGCCATCAACGTAACGTCGGTAAAATACTAAACTATCAATATCAATGGACATTTGTTCCTCCAGGTGTGCCATAAAGATGTCCGCTAGAATAGGGCCTAGAGGGCTTTCCATGGCTACACCGTCAATCTGGCGGTAAGACTGCTTCAGAAAACTGAAATTGATGTTCGAATTGCACAACAGTAAAAGTTCCTCAAGTTTTGAAATAGGTAAGCCTACCTGCAGATTTTTATTTTCTTTACGGTCACATATAATTTTCACGGTTTCTTTCAAGGGCACGTTTGTAAATAGTGATGCTACATCCATTGATGCCATGTATTTTTGATTTAAATTCATTATGCATAGTAATTCTGCCATCTAATGAATGTCTCTGCTAATGAGGTCTGTTCCTTTCCCTCCTTTGTTTCTTCTTCTTCTTCTTCTTCTTCTTCTTCTTCTTCTTCTTCTTCTTCTTCTTCTTCTTCTTCTTCTTCTTCTTCTTCTTCTTCTTCTTCTTCTTCTTCTTCTTCTTCTTCTTCTTCTTCTTTCTTCTTCTTCTTCTTCTTCTTCTTCTTCTTCTTCTTCTTCTTCTTCTTCTTCTTCTTCTTCTTCTCTTCTTCTTCTTTTCTTCTTCTTCTTTTTCTTCTTCTTCTTCTTCTTCTTCTTCTTCTTCTTCTTCTTCTTCTTCTTCTTCTTCTTCTTCTTCTTCTTCTTCTTCTTCTTCTTCTTCTTCTTCTTCTTCTTCTTCTTCTTCTTCTTCTTCTTCTTCTTCTTCTTTTTCCTATTCTTCTTCTTCTTCTTCTTCTTCTTCTTCTTCTTCTTCTTCTTCTTCTTCTTCTTCTTCTTCTTCTTCTTCTTCTTCTTCTTCTTCTTCTTCTTCTTCTTCTTCTTCTTCTTCTTCTTCTTCTTCTTCTTCTTCTTCTGCTTCTTCTTCTTCTTTTTCTTCTTCTTCTTCTTCTTCTTCTTCTTCTTCTTCTTTGTCTTCTTATTTTTCTCCTCATTTATTTCTTTTTTCCCCTCCTCCCTCTCCCACGTCATTCCCAGCAACATTTTGAAGCTCGCAGAGGAAACGTCAATGCTTTAGGCAGCCGTAAGATGTGCCGACACTAACAGTCACACACCAGAATTACAGTTCAGTGTTGATGAAAGCAGTCATTTACATAAACTGACATTGTACATGCACTAAGAAATAAGTACATCACCTCTGAAAGCAGTCATCCACATCCCATCTTTATAAAGTATACAACCCAAGCCTTCACTGTCTAGCAAGCACACATACACACACACACACACACACACACACACACACACACACAGAGAAACGCACACATACAAAAACGCACACATACAAAAACACATACACACATTCCACATAAAATCCACAGTTCACAGTGTCACACCAAGCACTCCACTTATTAGCTGGGCAAAGAAACCTTTAGATTCAGTGTTCAAAAATAGGGAATTGGCATCAGCAAACCCAGGTTAGGAACAAATAAATTTCC